GGTTGGTTGTGTGTGTGTTTTGGTAACTCACAAGTCTGAAAAGCAGTCATAAAAAAAACAAAAAAGCTCCTTCTTCCTAACAAATTATGTCAAACAAGAAAAAAATCAGTTCTGTAGCCATAGAACACCACTCTACGAAGGCTGCTATCGACTCACATTATGCAAGGTTCTCTCCGGAATTAAAATTTTAAGCCACACTGATTAAACAGAGCAGTTCTGCACACAGCTGGATGCCTGCTAGAACATTAAGCTTTTCCTTTGGTTCACAGTTGAGAGATCCCCTGGCAAAGCTCACTATTTTCAGCCGAGGGAGGTTTACCCACCCTGTGGCAAGCAGCCACGTGGAAAGGTTCTGCCAACTTTCTCAGGAGCTGTCCATAGGCCACGATTTTGGACTGCTTAAGGCTTGCTGACAACAAATTGGCAAGAAGGGTCCAGATCTGACTCCTGTGCTTGTGTAAGGAGATCTCCTTTATTACACCGAATGCTTTTTGCTAGCACAGGCACACGGAATCATTAAGGTTGGAAAAGACCTTCCAGATCCTCAAGTCCAGCCCCAACCTGTCCCCACCATGCCCCTCAGTACCACATCTCCATGTTTCTTGACGTGCTACATTCAGGACACCCCACCTTCCCACTGCCTCCAGCATGGATTTGAGAGGAGAAAGACATTATCTATACACACTGCTTGGAGAAGAGCTGTAGAGTAGCGGTACTCAAGGAGATTTTTCTGTGTTTTTGTTTTTGAGAGGACATGATTCTTGATCCTGAGCAAACTGGATAAATGTGAAATTAACTCAGTGCACTACAATAGTAGAGATGCCCCACTAGGGAATACATTCAAAACACCTCAAAGCATGTGAATGAACGCACCAGGTCATCTTTGTCAGCGTGCATATAGCTGTTCAGAAACACTGGATGGTCCATGCTGACTTCTCTAGATCATTTACATGGGATTTAGAGAGTGTCTTCCAACTCCATTCCCTCTACAGGTAGAGATTGAGAGACAGAAGATCTGGGGAAGTGTTGATGATGTTTCTTGGCTCCAGAGCAACTATTAGGATCCCAACAAGAACAGGTCTGTGGTCTTTTGTAGTAATGACCCCATGCTATGTAGATGTCAACCCATCGCTTAAGCTTCCAGCCTGCTTCAAGATGACACATTGAACCAAAATTTCCTCAGGTAAGATTAAAACAAGGTAGTGGCTAGCAGGTGAGTCACTAGACAAAAAAAATCCCACAACCTCCACATAATAAATACTTCCACTACTGGCCAGCCATAATTTCTCACTTCCCCACTTCCAACCTTATTTCAAGCCTGTCTTTTGTCATGAAGAGCCAGATGGAAGTATAAACTTTCCCCTGCCTCCTCAGCAATAATTCATAACAGAACTGAAAGAACAGATCTGCTACAGAAAACACCCAGGCACTTTTGAATTAATTCCAGTATTGTATTTTGCAGCCAGATTTCTAGGAAATGTTGTGAATAATCCAAGTAATTCAGTGGGGCTTTATTTTTTATTTAATTTTTTTTTAAAAAAAAACACAGCAGCACGTGGAATTTCAGTTCTGTATCCGAACCCACAGAAATCAGGAATGTTTGTTTAATTCTATGCCTCCTGATAGACAGTTCTTAAAACAAAACAAACACACACATCTGCAAGAGATCCTCTCAATCTCTCCATCCATAGGTAGCAGTAGCACATCTCCTGCTCTTAAACACAACTTCTCGTCAGGGGAACCCTTTGCAAAAGGATTCGTTTCATGAAGGCATTTAGATTAATCTCTTAGTCTTGCAAACAATTCCAAAACAAAGACAAATCTTAAAAATACACAAATGCACTACACATACTGAACTAACTGCAAGCTGAAAAACAAAAACAAGTAGATAAAATATATCCAAACATCCCAAGCCAGACTGGGGCCCTTCAGCACAACTGCAATTTATTCTGCCAGCAAAACCAATTAATAAGTCAGAGGAGACCAAGCAGTGAGGGATTTGCTCGAGAAGACAAAAATTTATGCTGCAGTGACTGTTGAGCCAGCTTTAAAACAATGCAGCAATTCAGATATCCCCAGCACTACACTGGGACTCCTTCCCTGGGATTTTGCACTAGAAAAAACTTTGGTTTCATATTTTAGAGAACGCCCATGTCAATTAAAAAGCTCATCACACACTGGCAGAACTTAATTGCTTGCAGCTAATACTGATGCCTTCAGAGCTAATCCACTTGTAGTGAACACTGGATGCTCACCCTCCCCATTCCCTCATTATCTGGGCACAGGAGGTCGATGGCCAAGAAACAAGACAGTGCAGGGTTTGACAAGTTATTCTCAAAACTGAAATGCAGCTCAGCATCTCTCATCAAGATTCCAATTATCTTTAAGTTTGGATTTGGTCTACAGTCATCTCATTAGTTACTTCAATTTGCCAAGAAAACTCATTTGAGAAAACAACCTGAAAAGTCAAGTGACTTAAATGCATAACCTGCATCAACACATTACCACAGCGTGCCAGATTTTTTGTTCTTTTTGTGTGAGAAAGGCTCAGTTCAGACAAGAGCATGAGTAGAAAACAGATTTTCAGCAAGACGCTGCTGTCAGAAGACAGCTACTAAATGTGATGAAACATGACTCAAAAGCAGAACATGGCCAACAGTACCACCATACCTGCTGTCACACCGTGCTCTCCATCATCAGAAGCTTCTAACTGGGTAGATATGAAATTATTTCCTCATTTTTCCTCTTAACATTGCCACTGCAGAGCAGCTTTCCATTTGGTTCCTCTAGCAGTAGCTGAAAACTGGAGGACGCCATAAACCTGCAATTTGTCCCCAAACACATGGGCTCCCTTTGATCATCATTCCAGACTATTTTTTTTAAAACAACAAAGAAGTTCATATGCTTAACACATACCAGGAGACCATAAAAACCCCCCTGAGCTTTCAGAATAGCCATGTATCAGCATCCATTCTATGGAAATTCCTTCCTGGGCTTTCCTCAGCTCCTCACTATCTAATGAAGAGAGCTACAAATTACTAAATACCACACTAAGTTCCTATCCAGGGGTGTGTTACAAAACACTGTGTTGGTGCCACAGCAGCCATTACCCTTGCTACAACACCTTAGAAGCTGAAGTTTCAATTTCAGCTTATGCCTCAACATTGCTGCAGTTGTTGTTTAGAAGACGAGTAAGAAACATTCGCTGGAATGATAATCTTTGAATAGTGCCTAAGATTTGCCCTGGAACAAAAACATCCTTATTATAAAATATACAAAAAAACCCCACATATATACACAAGATCTCATGAGGAGATAAAGAGAAATATCAGCGGCACAAAGAGAAAGTATTAAGAGATTTTTTTCAATCATTGAGGGGGAAAAAAGAAGTGCTAAGCAAACCAAAGGAAGAGTTGGTTTTGTTTTTGCTTTTTAGTCGTATGTTTTTTGCGGCTTGGGGTTTTTGGTTTTAAAAGAAAAGAAAAAAAAAGCTTAATTTTTCTGTTCTTTGAAACTTTCAGGGTGGGGCAAAGAGCATATGTTGGTCTGAATGCCAAAAGAGGCTGAGCTAAACAAGAAACAAGTGGTGCCAAGAAGCAGCTTAATGATGACAGTTCCCAAACAAGCTGCTTTGCACCAGGTTCAGGTTGGATATTAGGAAACATTTCCTCTCCAAAAGAGTGGTCACACACTGGCACAGCTGCCCAGGGAGTGGTGGGGTCACCATCCATGGAGGTGTTTCAGAATCATGCAGACGTGGTACTGAGGGATGTGGTTAGGAGCACAGTGGGATGGGTTGGTGTTGGAGATCTTAGAGGTCTCTACCAGCCTTAGTAATTGCATGGACACAGCCACCTTTCTGCAACCTGTGTGTTCTCTGTATATCCTGTGCAGAAACACAAGCCTCCAGTTAAACTAAGGGAGTGGAGGGTGACTGATCACCAAGCACTGAATTCTTTCTGAAGGTCAGGCACTGTTTTCTGCCCTTCTGTTACTTCATCCAGCTAGCAGAAAGGACCTCTTGGTAGAGCCGACAGTACTTGCTCCCAGTTTCATCCTTTTGCTCCTAGACATTGGCTACATATAGCCCTGTCAGAGAAGGTGAGCCCAGAGAAAGCGCTGACAACAGTAATGCTGGATCTACTGCAGCTGCATAGCTGCATCTGGCACTCTGCTTCCCCTTCCCAGATGTTAACCTAAAAATTTGTCCCTGCACCAAGACAGATGAGCCTTCTGACATCTATATGCATCTGCAGGCCTCAGTAACAAGAGTATTTCAGTCCTTTGGCTTTCATCATTTGGAAATCCTGAATGCTTTGAGTACTATTTCTAAGGGCAAGAAATCCCATGCCTTCAGAGAGCACATGCCACTGGGACTGGCCTTGGGTTGGTACCTCAAAGCAATCTCTCCTTAACAGCATTTCCCCAAAACCACAAGTTGGAACTTCACTGCACTTCAACTTCAGCTGTACGCAGTTTCTGCCCTTCATCATTATAATGCCTTTTAGAGCTCAGCCACCTTTGCTAAGGCAAATGATACAAGCTTACAAACGCCTCAACTTAATGCCAGTTCAAAGAAAAATCCTTGAGAGCATTCTACACTGAAACATGCATTTGCTGAGACTCTCATGTTTGATGCTCTTGGTAGAATGTCTCCAAAGGGATCTGACACTTCTGCTGCTTCTCCACTCCAAGAAGATTGAAATAAATACACTCACCAGACTGCAATACAGGAAGCCATCCTAAAAGGACTGGGAAAACAAAGCCACCCTGAATAGTCAGTGCTGACAGCGTGAAGGTGATTATTTACTAATTTGAATATCTAAAACATCTACGGGATATAAAAATGCAGTCTGCTTCCAGTTCTAGATTACACAATCACCATGCAAGCCTGCATTCACATCCTCCTTAAGCTACACATTTCGTATCACCTGTTTCAAGTTCTTTACTCTCCTTTCAATACAGTGATACAGCACATAAGTAAGTCAAATAATACTTGCCACTCTCTTCAAAGAAGTATCCATTCCTTGACATCGCTGCTGGTGGAGATTCTAAAAAGGGGGGGGAAAAAAAAAAGGAAGCACATGAATCATGGTGATGCTGGACGTCTTCACTCCATTGCTACGTTCATTATAAGCCCGAATTACAGCCCCAAAATACCAAGGGCAGAGATTTCCCTCAATGTAGCAACTTTGGCCTTTTGTTTATTGACTTCAGCATTTACCTGAATAACTCATGCAATTGCAATTACTGCATGAAAACAGTTAGGCAGTCTCAGACAACCTGGGCTGGAAGCACAAAATAGCAAGATTGAAGATCAGGACAAGCCTGACTGTATCAGAATGATCTATTGAATCTGAACAAATGCATGCACAAATAGATGCTAATTATCCACAAGGCTCCTTTTTAAAAAACACAAGGCATAATCAAGTCCAGTCCATATCTTACTCATGGATAAAGAGAACCAGTTCAGTGTAGCAAGAAATTCAGATGAGAACATGATTTCCACATCTTATTCCACTGCTCCTAATTATTAGGACATCCCCAGAATAGTCCTTGGTACTCAAGACAGGCACCAGAATTCTGCAACCTTTGCAGCCACCAACACTCGTACTGAAGTGGTCTTACAAGCACATCACGAATGGGAGATGACAGCAGCCAAGAGCAAATCCACACATAGCAGCAAGACAACCAAATCCTGGAAATTCATTTTAGAACACGTTCTGCTTATTAGCAAGTTAGTTATCTGCAATTACTGCTGGTAAATTGGGTGCCTAGCATGCACAGAGAAATTTCAACAGCATGGGAGCACCTGATATCAAGTCTGGTATCTCAACCCTGTCTGGTTGTTAGCAATGTTCAACAATTCAGACTGTCAGCTAGAAATACCAACTTTTCCCTACAGGTGCATGCTGTTTTATAACAAGTTAACAAAGCCCTTTGTTTCAAGCCTTATGAGTCAACTGAGCAGTCCCTTGCTAAGCAACTCCTAGATGCCACCTCATTGTATGTAGCTTCCCAGCCAAAATGCAATCAGAAAGAGGAATAGATCTGCTCTATCTTTCCCCACTTCATCAGGCTAATCAAACATTACCTACGCAAGCCTGAGATGAATTTGGGCCAACAAGGAAAGAGGTTTTGCCTGCTTTATTGTTCTACAGATTAGGTTTCCTGCTTTTCGTTTGAGGTATGAGACTATATTTCCCAGAGACCCTCTTTCTATCCCATAACTTTTGACTTACAGGTTATGTGCATGATTTTTTTTTCCCCTTTCCCTTTATTGTCACATTTTCAAGCAATATAATTCATCCTGGTCCACCAGGAGCCTTTGTGTACCAGAAAGACCCAAGTCACACCACTGACGACAGCATCTTCCAACCCCACTGCTTGCTACAGCTCAGCATGGCTCAGAACAGGCAGCATGAGCTGCACAGTTCCAGGAGAAACACCCTGATGGTCATTTAACATCACATACAAATCCAAGGGCAATTCAAATGCCTGGTTCAAGAGAGAAACATGATGTTCCAAGTTCATCCCAGAACAATGGGCTAGAGGAACAAATGCACCGTGGCCAAGGGGCACCCATTACATGAGTCAATTGTTTCCCTCCACCTGGAAGGGAAGGAGAAGATCCATCCAGGCTGATTAACATGCTAATGATCAAAGGAAAGTTTTTTTTTTTTTTTTTTTTTTTTTAAGAGGCTCTTATTGTGTAATGATTGCATTTACGTATTTCAAAGAAACAAACAAAGTATGCCTAGGCAGATGGATTACCCAAGGAACGGAGGTCAGACTTCCCCCTGGGATAGTATATCAATTTCTCACGTCTATTAGGGCTTCTAAGGGAGCCTGAAGCAATGTGTTCATCCATCACTAGGCAGAATGAAACACTGCTTGCTCTTCCTTTAGCTGAACACACCCATTCCTATGGGTCAGATGACACCCAATGAGCAGGCTTTCAGAGTTGGACACCTTCTTTAGAAATGACTTCAACTGCAGCATTGCCTGGGTTGACACGGCCCCTTTACAGGAGTCTGTGATCAAGTGGCTTCTTGGATTCAGAAGAGTGAAGAGCAAGGTGTGGGATTACCGAGGGCAATGCCATTTCATTAGATGGAACTCATTCCTCCGAGTCACAAATGAGTGATAGTCCTCCAGGCAACGCTCTCAGGCAATTATTTTGAGGTGCTGTTTGTTCAGGTGAGTCATAAAACAGAGGTCTTAACCTTGAAATTAAAGATGCAATGGCACGTTTAGGAAAAAAATTTGGGTGTTCACCCTACAGTGTCCTGCCCCATTAATTTGCCATCTTCCTATGTCACACTGCCCTACAGCACTGATGGTATTTGGTCTTCATAACAGTTGTGCCAGAGCCCTTTTGACAAGTTCCACAGAAGGAAGGGGTTACACATATTGACATCAAGAACAGTGTGGAACATGCCCAGGAGGCAAAAGGTGATAGGGGTGTTTACACAAGTCCAGACACTTGCATGAAGCTATAGGACTAAATTAAAGGTCAACATATTCACAGAAGCAGAGGAATGGTGAAAGTAGGAAGGGTCAATTGAGGACTACATTACCTGCATGTCAGAGCATCTAGAGACAGCGAGATACACTCAACTTTTTAACCACGTGGAATGGAGGAGGCATTTGGGAAGGAGGAATATCTTTACATATACCAAGCTCCACACTTTGACCCTTCAAGCTGTTGGCACAAGCAAAGTAGTATGCCATAAAAAGCTATGCTAAGACCAAGGCCAGCTCAACTGTATTTAAGTAATTGCTCAGTAGCCATCAGAAAGGCAAACTGTATCAGCAAACTCCATATGCCTCTCCTTTCACAAAGCTTACAGGAATTTAATTTCTGAGGTCTCAGCTCCTTAGTCATGTTTTGCTCAAGACTGGAGCAATGGGTTTGAGCTGTCCAGAACTGACAGCAAGGCTGTTATCTTTTCAGTGAGGCACATACCCACATCCTGACACACAGAACTGCATTTCCTCTCCCCATCTCAACTCCACTCCTTGAAATTAAATAAGCTCAACCAAGAGGCCGTTATGAAACACCACTGTAATCAATGTATTTGCTTTGCTGAGGATAGTCTGGCCAGGGACAAGTCTCCAAATACATTAAAGATCAACATCACAGTGCCCCAGGGTTTGCCTGGAGTTGCAGAATTGTTTCCATGCAGTGTAAATCAGAGCCTGCTCCTTTTCAGGCTGGAGGAACAGACCACCTGGGCAGCACTTTGTTATTGCAGGATGGGAGGTCTCTCCCTGCACCACTTCTATCAGATCCAAATCCATATTACTGTACTCCCAAGTTTTCCTTTAGATTTCAACAACTAAAATCCAAGCAAAACCATTTCAGCAAGACATAAGTACAGTCTTCTAAGGACAACGTTGGAATACATTACCCTGAGGGGATAAGGTACTCAATACAGCAAGTTCCCTCTCATCCAATACCTACAAGGACAATCACTCTTGAATTTCTTTTCCTATTCAAAGGTACAAGATGCCACCACCAATTATCTGCCAAAAAACGTGGAACTCTTCTGATAATTTAGCTGTTTTTAAGAGAGTTTACTCCAATAGCAACATTTCTACTGCCAGCCCACCTAATTCCTGCCAAGGATGTCTATTAAATATGACCCAATTGCACAGGCATCAAGACACCACAGTCACTTCTTCAAAGATAAGCTTCTGACTAGTACCTCATCTCTTTAAGAGCACTGAATTCAAAGGCAAAATAATTGAAGTGCTGCAAAGTGGAAAACAAGGCTTATTTCTCTAAACTCAGGGATACAAGCTTGGATTTCAAAAGCAAGCCACTGCCCTTTGACTTGAAACCATTGCAGTGACTCAGAGGCACCGAGGGGGAGATGAAGTTCACAGCACTTCTAACAGGTAGGACATTGAGTTTGATGTAGCATGAGGTGCTTGTTCTTCAGATTAAGATGATCCACAGTGGGAAGCATCGGGCATCCTTCCTGACTTCCTGCATTCTTACCATTTTTACATTTGCATTTAACAACAAATACAGACAAAGCCCTACCGTGCCATCTCCCATTATTAAATTCCTGCAGGAGATGCTTCTCAGATCTCTTAATAACCCATTTTAAGTCTCCTGTTTTAAGGTTAGTAATAAGCTCTCTTAAGCCTTGCAATATTAGTGGATTACAAATAAAAACACATTCTCTGGATACTTTGATAACTCAATTAAAATGTTCTGCTGCTGGCATCTTCCAAGTAAACAGCTCTCTGCAGCTCAAGCCTTGTATTGAAGCAAAAGGCAGCTCTAACAAGTTTATAGCATGGGTATTCCTACAAATGGTACTACAGCCTTCGTGACCTCCTATATCCCACTTCCTACCACTTGCAACTGATCAAAACATCCACCTGTCTTACAAAGAATTAAAGAAATGCAGATCATTTGAACAGACTTGTAACTTCTTGTTCAAGCACTCAGCTTGAAATTCCCAGCTCTCATATTAAACAACACTGAATATACCAGATAGCACTGGTTATCTGGAAACAAGTGTTCTGTCCGTAAGACACACAGCGTTTCAGCTTTGAAGCAAGGTTTTAGGCCACTTCCATTTGAGTTCCATGAACATGTTTGTCAGTGCTAAAAGCATCCATCCCTACCATCATAGAATCATTAAGGTTGGAAAAGACCTCTAAGCTCATCAAGCCTAACCCCAACACACCCCCACTGACCATGTCCCTCAGTGCCATATCTCCACAGTTCTTGAACTCACAGGATGGCCAAGGTTGGAAGGGACCTCAAGGATCATGAAGCTCCAACCCCCTGCCACATGCAGGGCCACCAACCTGCACATTTCATAGCAGCCCAGGCTGCCCAGGGCACCATCCAACCTGGCCTTGAACACCTCCAGGGATGGACGGGGCATCCACAGCCTCTCTAGGCAACTGTTCCAGCACCTTACCAGTCTCATAGAAAAGAACTTCCCCTGACATTCAACCTAAATCTTCCCTCCCTGAATTTCAAACCATTTCCCCTTAGGACGGCGATTGTCCCCATTTCCTCCAG